CGGAGGTTGCAGTTAGATAGTGCCACTGCACTCCAGCCTGGTCAACAGAGCAACAGAGTGAGACTCTGTCGCAAAAAAAAAAAAAAAAAAAGAAAAAGAAAAAGAAAGAAACTGTAAGGAAACTACAAGGAGCTAAATTAAACTGGAAACGTGCAGATGTGTTCACTAAAGGTAGTGGCTGTCAGTGTTATCAAAGACCAAAGACCATCAATCTTTTAACCTCAGCTTGCTCATTAACATTATCTTTAAGTAAAGAGGGCTGCCCTCTCAGGACATCTGGACGCTTTGTAGGCTTGGTGGGAGAAGTTTTGTCTGGCCATAAATATTCCCTAATTTTAAGTGTGGTCACCTTGCGATGTAGCTATTTTTAGACCCTAAGTATTAACCTTACCGGTGTCTCGTGAGTGCCTCGCTATTCACTTTAAGATGGAGTCACTCTGGTCATGTCTTATTAAACCAGAGGCCTGGTAAGCAGAACTTCCTCTAACATAATCACTTCTCGAAGGCCCCATCACCAGACACCCCCACATTGGGAATTAGATTTCCACATGTGGATTTGGGGGGGACATAAACATTCAGACCACAGCACAGTCCAACCCTCTCAGCCACCCCGCTGTGCTCCTCTCCTTCTCTGGCTTTAACACCTTTGTTTATCTTCTGCTGGCCCTGACCCTGTTTGATGCTTCTGCTTGCGACTTCTCCCCTGGCCCCTGACTAGGGCTATTAGGAGTATAGAGCACTCTACTGTGATTCATCTTTCACACTCAGTAGCCCCAGTGGGGTCCAGAACAAGGGTTCTCATTTATTAATGGGTGTAAGAATCGGACGGGGAGTGTGTTAAGCATGTAAATTCCAGGAGTACATCCTTCCCTCAGGTCCAGTGGTACAGCCAGCATCTGTGGCAGTGGAACTTTTTGTGAAGATGGGAATGCTCTATTCTGTATTGTCCTAAAGATGAGCTACTAGCCACACATGGCAATTGAGCACTTGAAATGTGGCTAACGTGATTGAGAAACTGAATTATTCATTTTATTGCATTTTGATTAAATTTAAATAGCCACATGTGGCTGGTGACTATCATATTGAACAGTGCAGATCTATAGGGTTAGCAAGCATCACAGCTGACTCTAATGAACAATAGTGTTTAAGACTGTAACAAGCCATCCAGGTGACTCTTATGCTCACTTACTGGCAAGTAGTAGTAAGTAATCAACAAATGTTTGTTGAATAAATGAATGAGTGGAGGAACTAATAAAATGAATGAACCACACTATAATTTCCTTGTGATTTAAGGCTGTTTCTCCTGAAAAAGAAAATGTGGGGGACTGTTCCAGATTAAAGAGGCTAAAAAGACTTGACAATCAAATAGAATAAATTGATATTAAAAGGATCCTTGTTCAAAAATGAGCAGAGGTCTTAAAGCCAGACATAGAAAGATACATATTGCATGTTCTCGTTCATATGTGGGAGCTAAAAAAGTTGATCTCATGGAGGTAGAGAGTGAATGATAGTTACCAGAGCCTGGGAAGGGTGTAGACGATAGTGGCAGAGGGAAGAAGAGAGGTTGGTGAATGGATATGAACAGACAGAGAAAACAAGTTTTAGTGTTTGGTAGCAGAGTAGGTGACTATAGCTAGCAACAGTGTATTGTATATTTCAAAATAGCTAGAAGAGAGTCCTGGAAATGTTCCCAACACATAGAAATGATAAATACTTGAGACGACGACCTAAATATCCTGACTTGATGATTACAGATTCTATGCATATAAGAAAATATCACATGTACACCATAACCATGCACAAATATTATGTATCAGTTAAAAATATTTGGGCCGGGCACAGTGGCTCACACCTGTAATCCCAGCACTTTGGGAGGCTGGTGGGTGGATCACGAGGTCAAGAGATCGAGACCATCTTGACCAACATGGTGAAACCTCGTCTCTAGTAAAAATACAAAAAATTAGCTAGGCATGGTGGTGGGCGCCTGTAATCCCAGCTACTCAGGAGGTTGAGGCAGGAGAATTGCTTGAACCTGGAAGGCAGAGGTTGCAGTGAGCCGAGATTGCACCACTGCACTCCAGCCGGGGCAACAGTGTGAGACTCTGTCTCAAAAAACAACAACAAAATTTTTAAAAATATATAGTTAGAAGAAATAAGTTCTAGTATTTGATAGTACAGTAGAAAAATTATAATTAACAATAATTTATTGTATATCTCAAAATAACTAAAGGAGGCCAGGCACGGTGGCTCATGCCTGTAATCCCAGCAGTTTTGGAGGTCGAGGCAGGCAGATCACTTGAGGTCAGGAGTTCAAGACTAGACTGGCCAACATGGTGAAACCCTGTCTCTACTAAAAACACAAAAATTAGCTAGGCATGGTAGCGCATGATTGTAATCCCAGCTACTTGGGAAGCTGAGGCAAAAGAATCACTTGAACCCAGGAGGTGGAGGTTTCAGTGAGCTATGATGTGCCACTGCACTCCACACTGGGTAACAGAGCAAGGCTCTGTCAAAAAAAAAAAAAAAAGAAAACTGAAAGAGAAGAATTATAATGTTCCCAACATAAAGAAAAGTGTTTGAGGTGATGGATATCCCAATTACCCTGATTCGATCATTCCACATTGTATACAGGCATCAAAATATTGCATGTACCCCCAAAACATGTACAACTATTATATATCAATAAAAATGTTTAATAAATAAAAATATTAAAAATTTAAAAATAACTATAATAGACATTTTGGAGACAACTGGAGAAATGTGACTATAGACATTATACATGATATTAGAAAAGTATTTTTGTTTTCTTAGGTGAGATAATGTTACTATAAGTCTTCATTCTTAGGAAGTACAAGCTGAAGTACTTAGGGATAAAGCATCTTATATCAGCAACTTTCTTTCTTTCTTCCTTTTTTTTGAGATGGAGTTTCGCTCTGTTGCCCAGGCTAGAGTGCAATGGCACGATCTTGATTCACTGCAACCTCTGCCTCCCGGGTTCAAGCAATTTTCCTGCCTCAGCCTTCCTAGTAGCTGGGATTACAGGCACATGCCACTGTGCCCGGTTAATTTTTTTTTTTTTTTGTAGTTTTAGTAGAGACGGGATTTCACCACGTTGATCAGGCTGGTCTTAAACTCCTGATGTCAGGTGATCCACCTGCTTCAGCCTTCCAAAGTGAAAATAAGTGCTCCCGGCTGGCAACTTATTTTCAAGTGGCTCAGTCAAAACTCTGTGTGTGTGTGTGTGTGTGTGTGTGTGTGTGTGTGTGTAATGGTAAAATGTTAGCAATTGCTGAATCTAGATAAAGTACGTTTTGGTGTTTGTTGTATGTATTCCTTCACCTTTTCTGTATATTTGAAATGTCTTTTTTTTTTTTTCAAGTTGGGGGAAATTTTACCCACAATGAATTGGCAAATTCTAAAGTAAAGTTTTGTTTTGTTTTTTTTGTTTGTTTGTTTTGTTTTTTTTTTAAAACAGAGTCTTACTCTCTTACCCAGGCTGGAGTGCAGTGGTGCCATTACAGTTCACTGCAGCCTTGACCTCTCAGGCTCAAGCGATCCTCCCACGTCAGTGTCACTCTCAAGTAGCTGGGATCATAGGCATGCACCACCATGCCCCACTAATTTTTAAATTTTTTTTTTTTTTTTTTTTTTTTTTAGTAAAGACAGGATATTGCTATGTTTCTCGGACTGGTTTTGAACTCCTGGGCTCAAGCAATCAACCCACCTCAGCCTCTCAAAGTGCTGAGATTACAGGTGTGAGCCATTGCACCTGGTCAAATTTTAAACTTATGGATGTACTGACATTTGGATGCTAACCTCCCCTCCATCACAGACTAACACAGTGCTGAAAATATGTTACAAATTCTCTGGACCAGATATTGCAAACTGGCAACCTACAGATCCTATCTGGCCAGTATTCATGTTTTTCTTTGGTTCAAATAGAGTGTTGTTTTAAATTAAGTTAGTTGTTAACATTTAAAATTCAGAGTATTTTTATTTTGATATATTATGTAGTAAAATATTTTGCATTGTGATGAAATATAAAATACTACTTTACAATAGCAAACATGTATAGATCACTTCCTGTGAAACAAGCACTGTTCTAAGAGTTTCATGTATATTTAGCTCATTTACTCCTTACAGCAGCACTATGGGATAGGCACTATTATTATCCTGTCTCTACAGATGGGGAAACTGATGAACAAAGAAGTGAAGTAACTTTCCCAAAGTCTTCACAGCCACTGACTTGTAGCGCCAGGGTGTAAACCTGTGCAGTCTGCCTTCTAACCACTAAACCATATCACCACTCACAAAAGTCCACATCCCCACGGTCTCTGGAAAAAGCATTCCCACGTGGCATCAATTAACCAGGGCTGAGAAATTTCATTTCCCTGAAGACAGGGCATTTTCTCTTTCACTTGCCAGAGTCTCCGTTCAGTCAACTTCTGGGGCCTTTGGGGTTTTGACCCCTGCTCTAGCACAGCTGAATATACCAGGGGAAATGGCATGTTACAGATATTTCACAGACACCTACACACTGCCCCAGACCAAGTTAGATGTCAGGCTGACCTCTAAGTGGACAGGAAGCCCCAGTGGAAGAGAAGATTAGAAGGTAACGTAGGCCAGATTGTGGGTAGAAGAGTGTTTAGAATGCCAGGATAATTGTCAGCAGACAATGGAGAAAGTTATAGGAAGCAGAAGTTACACATCCCACGGTTGGTAATACGCCCTATCAGAGGGCAGTGGGGGTCGGAGAAAATAGCATGGGCCAGCATGGCCTGGACTACAAAGCTGATTCCATCACTTAGCAGCTGTGTGACCTTGGACAAGTTACTTACCTTCAAGCTTCTGTTTCCTTGACTCAAAAATGGGGATAAAGACACCTCCAGGATGGTGGAAGAAATTAAATGAGACAGTGTGTGAAGTCTCTTTAGCCCCTGTTAGTATAGGTAACCTAACTGCTTTTCTTACTAATCATTTATATTCATATTTTCCCCTAGAGCTAAGAAGCAAGAAGAAATTGGGGCACCATGGTAAGCACCAGGAGCTTATTGAAGCTTCACCATTGAGAGGTCCAGGTCTTCCTTCGTTTATCCTGTAGCCCAAGCAGCTAGCAGACTTGCTCTTACGGGTTGATGATGTTTATCAACTTTTTTCCAAACCAGAGATCCTGGACAGAACTTGGAAGAAACTGATGCAGAGTAAGGGGAAAACAGTTGAGAAGGATTTTTGAGCAAAGAGTTTTAGTGAACATTTAAATAAAATAGTCAAAAAGCCGGCAATAATCTAAATGGCTAGCAATTCCTTCATTCAGCAAGCACTGAATACCCACAAAGGTCCAGGGCCCATGCTAGATGCTAGGGACAGAAATGCGAGCAAAACCAGAGCTGGCTGCTGTCTTCCCAGCCCGCCCTCTGGTGGTAATTGATTAAATGATAGCACACCCATATTCCGGTATGTTACACTGCCATTATGAAGAAAGCCTGTAGAGGATAACTAATAAAACAATCTAGTTTCGTGTTCTAATAGCAACGTAAAAAGCAGGATGAAGAATTGTATCCATAGTATTATCTGTATGATATAAATAACCTGTAATCCACAACTCAAAAATAACAATTGTCAACAGTGTAGTCCATTATATTCAATTCTTTTTTTCCTATTCTAAACACATCTACCACATATATACAATAAACTGTTGCAAAACTCTAAAAAGTACTTACAGTTGTTATTTCTGGATTGTGGGATTGTGATTTTCCATATATTTCAAGGTTTCTACAAAAAGCAGCCATAAACAGGAAATATGTCAATTAAAACACAGTCACAGACATGCACAGAGCATCTCCTCAGTATTCATTTGTTTTCTTTCCCCTGTCCTTGGTGTGTCCAGGGGAAAGCCCACAGGCCTCCGCCAGGGCACCACAGGCATTGTGAGGGATGCTTCAACCGCCACTGCCACATTCCTGCGGAACCCAACGTCTCCTGCCTGGTAATAAGCTGCCACCTGCTCTGTGGTGCCACCTTCCACATGTGCAAAGAGGCAGAGCACCAGCTCCTCTGCCCTTTAGAGCAGGTTCCATGCCTCAACTCCGAATATGGCTGCCCTCTGTCCATGTCCCGCCACAAACTGGCCAAGCACCTGCAGGTGTGCCCTGCCAGCGTGGTCTGCTGCTCTATGGAGTGGAACCGCTGGCCAAATGTGGACTCTGAAACCACCCTTCATGAGAACATCATGAAAGAGACCCCCAGTGAGGAGTGTTTGGACACAGCCCTGGCCCTGCAGGACCAGAAGGTCCTCTTCAGATCCTTGAAAATGGTGGAACTTTTCCCAGAAACTAGAGAGGCTACTGAGGAGGAACCAACTATGAATGGTGAAACCGGTGTGGAGGAAATGGGAGGAGCAGTGGGTGGAGTGGATATCAGTTTGGTACCACATGGTTTGTCAGCAACTAATGGGGAGATGGCAGAGCTAAGTCAAGAAGAACGGGAGGTGCTAGCCAAAACCAAAGAAGGGATGGACCTGGCTAAGTTTGGCCAGTGGGAAAATATTTTCAGCAAAGAGCACGCAGCCTCTGCTTTAACAAATTCGTCAGCGAGCTGTGAGAGCAAGAACAAGAATGGCCCAGAGAAGGAACAGATTTCCAGTGGCAATAACATGGTAGAAGGAGAGGGCGCTCCCGAAAAGAAAAAACCACAGGAAAATCAGAAGCAGCAGGATGTTCACACAGCTGTGGAAACCACAGGGCTTGCCCCTTGGCAGGATGGTGTTCTGGAAAGACTGAAAACAGCTGTGGATGCAAAGGACTATAACATGTATCTAGTGCACAATGGGCGGATGCTGATCCACTTTGGTCAGATGCCTGCTTGTACACCCAAGGAGAGAGACTTTGTTTATGGCAAGCTTGAGGCTCAGGAAGTTAAGACTGTTTACACCTTCAAAGTTCCTGTGAGCTACTGTGGAAAGCGAGCTCGACTTGGAGATGCCATGTTGAGTTGTAAGCCGAGTGAACACAAGGCAGTGGATACTTCAGATCTGGGGATCACTGTGGAGGACCTGCCCAAATCAGATCTCATCAAGACCACCCTCCAGTGTGCTTTGGAAAGAGAACTCAAAGGCCACGTCATCTCCGAATCCAGAAGCATTGATGGACTGTTCATGGATTTTGCCACACAAACATACAACTTTGAGCCAGAACAGTTTTCCTCTGGGACAGTGCTGGCTGACCTAACCGCTGCCACCCCAGGGGGACTCCACGTGGAGCTGCACAGTGAGTGTGTCACCAGGAGACACAACAAAAGCAGTTCTGCCTTCACTTTCACTTGCAACAAATTCTTCAGGAGGGATGAGTTCCCCCTGCACTTCAAGAATGTCCACACAGACATTCAGTCTTGTCTCAACGGCTGGTTCCAGCATCGATGCCCCCTCGCCTACTTGGGATGTACATTTGTTCAAAACCATTTCCGTCCCCCGGGGCAAAAGGCAAAAGTAATCTACAGCCAGGAGCTCAAGACCTTTGCCATTAAGCCGGAGGTTGCTCCAGAGCTGAGCGAACGAAGGAAGAACAACCATCTTTTGGGTCATGGAGGAAAAAGCCAGAATTCTTTAACCAGCCTGCCCCTGGAGATTTTGCAGTACATTGCTGGGTTCTTGGACAGTGTCAGCCTGGCCCAGCTCTCCCAGGTGTCTGTGCTGATGAGGAATATCTGTGCCACTTTGTTACAAGAGAGAGGGATGGTCCTTTTGCAATGGAAGAAGAAGAGGTATTCCCATGGGGGCACCTCCTGGAGAGTCCACAGAGAGGTAAGTCAACACTCATTTATTGATGGATTGATTGACTCATTCAGCAATTTTTTGTTTCATTTTTTACAAACAGGTACTCTCTCTGTTGCCCAGGCAAAAGTGCAGTGGTGCAATCATAGCTTACCACAGCCTCGAACTTCTGGGCTCAAGTGATCCTCTTGCCTTAGTCTTCCAAGTAGCTGGGACTACAGGTGTGCATCACCACATCTGACTAATTTTTAAATTGAGATGGGGTCTCACTGTGTTGTGCAGGCTGGTTTTGAACTCCTGGTCTCAAGTGATCCTCCCATTTCGACCTCCAAAAGTGCTGAAATTACAGGTGTGAGCCACTGCACCTGGCCTTAACAATTTTTTTTTTTTTTTTTTTTGGGATGGGTTTTTGCTCTGTCGCCCAGTCGGGAGTGCAGTGGTACAATCTCACCCTATTCAAAAAATAGCATCAGAACTTTCTCCATCC